AGACCAGGTTTCACGGGTTAGTAGCTAGTCACTTCCAGTCACTGACAGTTCTGGGGGTACGCACATGGCATTTTCGTGTCCGGAATCTGGACAGTCAAAATCCCATGGAGGATAATCCGAACAGAAACGCTAAATTTTATCAAAAGCGAAACTATTGAATAGAGTATACTCAAACGTACCTTGCTATGGATTCAATATTACCATTACTCACAAGTTCGAATACATTTAATAATGAGACATTAAGAGCTCCACTCTTCAGCGAAAAAAATCTTCCAGTTCCACCTGCACCGTGTACGCAGCGTGAATAGTCAGGTACTGTTGCGCCTTAATCAAATTTCTTGCAATGTGAAGTCTTGGTATCTGTATTGCGAGGGAGGAATTTCTAGGGTGGCCGGTGAAGGCCGCAATTAGAGCAATCTTCACTGCTAAAGATCTATAAAACAATAATGACGGATAGCAACGCCTCACACACGAATCCACAGGTTATATAGGCTTGTTTCATTCACTACGGGCGAAAGAGGTACGGAAGAGTGATGTAACTTATTTACTTGCAACCTGGGGCACCCGGCTTTGTTGAAGCTGGGGCACGCAACTCTTTTTGCGCCGAAGGGAATTCGGTTGTTTCGGTCATAAAGTCATTTCTCGAAACCAGTGGAGAGCATAGGATATGACTCCATTGGGAAGCACGTTCCCCCATTGTGGCCCTTATGTTGTTACGCCACAGTGAAATAACTTCACAGTGCTTGGCGTTATAGGACGCCAAGGAGCCTGAGTCTTTACAGGAAGAACTCGACAAGCCACAAGTCAGGTTTGGTTCAGTTACTGCAAGGCTCAGACCGAAGACCCTGTGGCCAGCCCGCCCGGTCTGGCCACTCGGGCTGTCATGCCAAAGTTATGAATTCATATTGTAGTGAATCGATGAATTAGAGATTACTTTATGACGGGATTTTCAGGGACATGGCATAACACGGTCAGTGTTATCAAAGTGTAAGAAAGTTCGAGACGAGTGTGCCAAAAAAACCCAACTCATCGCCCCGTCAAGCTTACCTAGAAGAATCAATGAAGCGATACTCCACCATGATCCACGAGACGTAGGATTCCAGCTCAGCGACATCTGGCATCCGCTACTAAGGTCACCCCCTCCCGGGCATATGGGTCTCCTATACCCGCCTGGTCCCGAACCCCCCCCCTCCCTCAGTGGTGTAGCAAGGGGGAGCCTGGGGCACGTGCGCCCCCCCCCCAAGGATGAGTGGAGATTGATTAAGGCTAACAAAATCTTGCTCCCCAAAACACCACTGTAAGCTGGTGCCTCCTAAAATGCGGGTGCCTCCGTTGTGCCTCCCCCCACACGTAAAATCCTAGCTACTTACGCCGCTGACCTTCCCTGGTGTTAGGGTTTTCTCAACCCAAAACCTACCCCTCGCCCCACCAGCAGCCTACCACCATAGTTCAGCCCTGGCATCCTCCTCGCCTCCATCCAGTGCATCAATGATCCAGCCAATTACCTGTAGTCTGCACCGTGAGCATCCTCTATCACGCATGACCAGCCTCACTGCCAAGCATCCGTCTCACGCTTCAATGCTCCAGGGATCTACGCTAATCCTCAAACAATCCTACATACCCACCTAAAACGGGCACTCCACTCCTGGGAACGACCAGAGCGCACAGGTTGAAACGTCGAGTGCCCACCCTACGGTTCTTGTCAGAACCATACCTCTTCCAAAAAGAGATCTACATCATGATGTATCTGCATGGTTTTACCACAGGCCCTCTGTTTAGTCTATCTCCACCATGCAGAAACCACCATGAAAAAACTGTTGAACTGTTTTGGGGTTGCACTTCACACGATTTCTTCACTGGTTCTTATAGTATACCACCGGCAAGGGTCTATATCAGAAAAAAAGCTATTTATGCATCATGTACATGTACAATGTGTCTGCTGACGACTATCGTCGGCGATTCCTGAATAACAACGAAATGGGTGTGGAAAATGTCTGCCATTTTTGGAAACTCTCGGAAACGGTTTTCAAAACTCAGTCCTGCGAGGAGACAATCTTCACGCATAGCCTCGGGGCAACTTTCCTGGTACGGGTCCCTCTCCCTATTCGTCTGGAGACTATAAGTATGGGACGGGAAACCAGTCCCCAGCTTTCCTGTCAAAATTCTGACTTATGAATTACCTTTTCTTTTAAACAAATCCTCCACTGCCTGACTTAGAAAAAAAGGAATCAGGCTGAAGACAAAAAGCCAAAACGCACAGCTCTGGAAAGGCCGTGGTTATCCGAGGGTAAATGGGAAAAAATATTTAGTGACAACTTAAGAACTGAAAGCCCACTTGTATAATTGCTCATAATTTTCGAAAAGTGAAGTACATTTCCTGCAAGGTCGTTTTTGGGATGTTTTTCAAGTTTTAATTCCAAAGATATATTTTTCCAAGTTTGCTTTTACGAGCAGTGGCGTAAATTTGTGCTGGAAATGGAGGAGGGCATGGTGGATGGGAAAAGGCGGTGGGGCAATGACTTGCCTGACCATGGAAATTCGAAAAGCGGGGGGGGGATATGACTCTACATAGAGGTCGCTGTTAGGATGGCATATTTGTGACTGCTAAATTATCTTGCCTTTTTGAGTGATACTGAATGCATTTTTAGTCGTTGGAAGTCTGAAAAAATTCTTCAAAAAGTGGGGGGGGAGGATAACTCAATAGCCCACCTCCCTCAAAGAGTGGGGGATATGTCCCCCTCCACCCCACCCCCATGATTTACGCCCATGTTTACGAGATTAATTTAGAAATTGGGGTTAAGGTTAGGGGGGTCGTTTTTATGAGAACGAAATATATTTTTAAAGTTCGTTTGAAAGGTACATTTTCCTGGATTTTTTTAACGTATATTTCTCCCAGCTTATTTCTACGAGATATAACTGTGGTCTAAGAACTCGTTCATTTTAGGCCTTCTAGTTATCAAAAATTCATTGCTATCGAATCACAATACATGTGTACGAGTACTATCACCAGCAATCATCGACAATTCTTTTAAAACAAGATTCTACTTTTTGTCTCTAAAAAGTTGAAAAACTACATGCCCAGAAAGTTAAGATCTATTTTCTCAAAACGAACTTAAAAAACAGATCTCGTAAAAACCAACTTGAAAAATTTAATTTACCTTTTGAAAAAATGCTTCACGGCACCAGTGGGCTTTCGTAGCAGTCATTGTCTCGGGCTAGCTGGCCGGGGTCGGCCACGGTGTGGCGCAGACTGCGCCAACGGACCGAAAAGAGACCAGTGTCATAACCCATGACCTTGCCATGGCAACAGACGCTCAAGCTCAATCTGCAGCAGGATGCATATATGTATCTAGCTTCGTTGCATGCACTGCATGCATTGCTTGCGCTTCAGTTTGCACTCTGTCATACTCACGAATGATTTATAGCTTTGTTTTTGATAAGGAACCATGGCTGGCCGCTCGGAACTGAAACCTGAAAATGTGAGGTAGGTCTTAAGTGCACCATGTGTGCACCTAATTTACGTCCACCAGCCGGCAGCGCAGGGATTCTCATTCCCTCAAAGTTTGAAATTGAGGACTCCAGCTACTGCTAGGCCTACATGTATCTGGCACGAGTCAACAGGTCAATTCAAGCTGGGAAACTGTTGCCTTGAGTTAAGTCTAGGATTCCAGTACAAACTATATGTAGGCCTTATTGGTTTGGGGGGTCATTTCAAAATCCTTATTTTCCGTGATTGTTTGTTATTTTGTATGGAATCCTACTTTTGTAGGGCCTAGGCCCCCTAAGCCTATTTCTAGGCCTAAGGCTCAAAGAATTTTCCAAATAGACCCTTGGCCTAAGTGTCAACAGGAGATTTTAATAGTTCTCGCAAGAAATTTCTTTCAGAGGGAAGAAAAGTCTGAATTAAATGTCGGCAGGGGAATTTGTTCTGCTTTCACATGGCAGTAGGCCTATTCATCACAATGCTCAAATGGCAACATTTCTTGCAGCTGGCCGGCGTAACGCGTGACGTACCATGCCCTGGCCCCAATAACTTGAATAAGTACATACACAAAGGGCACTGCACATGTAGCTCACACACGTCACGTACGAAACAGACCCAGCAAAATATGTAGTTGATGTCAGTCTCTTACGTACAACCGTTGCCTGTTTTTCATGTATCCATGCAATTTTTATCACTCAGCACAATTTTTAAGGCAATGGGGGGCCTAAGTCTGTGGTTGTGCAAAATTAAAAATTGGTGCACTTTCAAAGATCGCACTCATTCGGCCTACCCTACTGTGGCGCAGCCCCCAGAGGTCTCAAGTGGTCTCAACAACAACACTAGCAGCCCCTAACATGGCACACTTTCATTTTTCACTTTTTGTGTCTTAACAGACAATATTTAAGCTTAGACTTCAAAATTGGTGAAACTTCATCAAACTTCAAATATTCTGATTCATAAAAATCACAATTTTTACATAGGCTTACATGTTACAAAGTTTGAATGAAATTTTATTTTTGCCCGATTTTCCAACTTTTTTCTGACCTGCAAAATGAACTTTTTTAGAACGTGCCCAAAATTCTGACAAACTTGTTGATGGATATTTGAGAGGCAGTAATGATGCTTTACAAGAATTCATCAACTTCAAATGAATGTTTACTGCTTATGTTTGATTTTCTGCAAGTTTTTGCAAGTGCACCACGTTAGGGAACGCTCCGCTGAATTAGAGCTCAACAACAACTCAATTGATAGGAAAACTGTTTGTGTTTGTGCCTCGAATGGGCAGACAACTGCCTGCATTGTGCTGACATTGTGCCAGGCCACCGTGCATGGCACATCACAGCTTGTCGTGGCTTGACCCCTTGCTGGTCAGGGCTGCTGACGTGTCACTCACTGGCACAGGTCCTGTGCATACTACATGTATGTCACCGGGTCCGAGTCAGGTAACAACGTAAATTATGCACCACATGCATATTTCTCAAGCATGTTGATATTCAACCTAGTGCCCGCACTCACTAAACATGTTCACATATTAAGCGCAGAGTTGAATAGTCTTCACAGATGACTTGGTAAATGGTCGAGCAGTCCCACTAGTGGAATTGTCTCAATGGTCAAGTTGTCTGGCATCCCTACAATTCATCATTGAGTATGCAATTAAACAGATTAAGCAGAGTGATTTACACCTTTGAGTTTTGGACATCTTTTAGTTTGGCTTGGACAACTCATACCTCCATTCTACCTGACGTTCATTGTTAAACCAACATGTCACTTGGCCAACTTTACTTGGCCAAGGTGTACCCCATAATGCCATGAGCAAGCACCACCAGTCAACTTTGGCCTAATATTAGCCTATATGTAGGCCCCTCACCATCATGCAAATCTTGTATACAAAATGACATTTTGTGTAGATTCATGTGGCAGTCACAGTAATTTCCACACAGAAAAGAAATTGAAACTTTTGGTCTGTAATGAAGACGTTTGTTTTTGTTGTAGGCCCCTATTTGTACGTATTTGGGAAGACATCTGTTCAGTTATTTTGCTTTGCAGAACCCACATCTACATGTAACTTGCAGATTTGGGTTATTCTATAAATTCAGGGTCCAAAAGTGTGACTTTTTTGTGTCTGTTACTCCTGACCTGTGTAATTTGATCTGGAAATATCACTGAAATTGATTTCAAACTATTTCTATTTGTCTGGCAGGTGCATGCAATTTGCATAAATTCATCACTCTTTGAAATTAATGTATTCTGAATGTACGACTTACGTGTATGTTGGATGTGACAGGGACACAGAAAAATTGGACCCCTAATTTATAGAATGACCTATTTGACAATGATTTGGTATATTACTTTCTCAGCATTCCTGAATTCTCCAAGCTCCATCCTGTAATCCCTCGGAGATATGTCCCAGAATGGAAAAATGACATGAGAAATAGAGAACTAATCATGAAGGTAAAAATTCAACAACTAACTTTAGAAATGAACAGTGTTTGCCATTGTTGGTTGAATAAAATCATCAAATGTATAGCAGCAAATTTGGATGGGACTGTGAAATTGAAGTGTTAATGGATGTGCCGAAAAAGGTTTTAACATTATCAATGAAGAAAAAATGTTGACCGTCAATATAAAGAGCATAGTTGTGACAAAATGCTTTTATAAAGAGCAAATTCTCAGGATCTGTATCTCTTTTGTTTTTAATTTTGCAGTTCTTTTACAAGATTGTGGTTATAACAAGATATTTCAGCTGGTCTCAACAACTTTGTCGCAAGATTTGACTGTGTTTTGCTTCCACTGCATCTTAGTTTTAGAAATAGTCAAACCTCAGGAGAAGTTCCTCTGACTTTGCAGATAACATATGAGGAACCTTGTATTTTCAAGAACGAAAACAACAAAAGATTGAGACCTAAAAACGTCCTTGTTACATGTATAAGCAGAATGTTGCATAATTAATGGTATTCTTAGTAACAAGGTTTGACTATACATCTCATGTTCCACTTTCGTAGGCTTCCCAATAGTCATTTTGTAATGGTCTTGTATTCACCTGTCTTACACTTCAATGCCTTTGTAGCTATGTGCAAAATAGCAATAACATTGCTAATCATGGACTTTCCCTCCATAGCAAAGGTTATTCAGTGTATAGTTTAATAAGGACATAAGACCCTTGTTTCCAAAAGAAATGGAATTCTAACAGGAAGAGTAAGACAGAAATTCCCCTCTAAAACTACTCACACTTACTACATTTTCATTTTTTTCAGAACTGTGATGTAAGTGGAATAATTCCTAAGGGTCCACATGACGAAAGCCTGTTCTTGGACAAGAGGGAGAGAATGAATGAAGTTGAGCCTCGTAAGCGCTGCGAATCCAAACGACCAGTACTGGAGCGGTATCATGCCCTGAGACCTGAATTCCATACATCACAATCTAAATATCAAAGTAGCTTAATGTTTAGAAGGGATGATTTCACAGAGACACAGTAATGAAAACTCTAAG